AAGTAAAAAATACTTATTAGAAAAATTTATTTATATTTATCATAAATATTAAATAAAATATTTAGTCTATATTTCAATAATATTTCGAATAAAGCTTTATATAAAATATGTATGAAATATCTATATAACATTTCAAAAAAAGAATTAATATTTATCATAAATATTCTATGCTATCTGGATAATATATATAATAATAAAGGTATAATTATTTTTCATTATTTATACAAATTTTTAGATAAGAATACCATTAACAGTCGACACCGGATAGTGATGTGTTTAATTTATTCAATATGTTTGTATATATAATAATAATCAACTACAATATATACTCATAGTTTCGATCCCCGATTTAGATTCTCTTTATAGTATACATAATTAGATATAATTTAAATTTAACGCATAGTCATATCGATCCTCAGTAATTCTACTTTTAACTTAACGAAACGTTAAAGCGTCATCTACAATGGGCAGTAATGGTAAGGTTGTAAGACACATGAGTAAGCTGATTTTCCAGTATAATAGGACGTAAAGTAAGTCCGTAAATGAATTATTGAAATCGATTTCCTACGTTCTACTCTCTTATTGCTTACGGACTTACTCTATGTTCTATTATACCAGAAAATCAGCTGTGTGTGCGTGTGTGTGTGCATTTCGCGCGCGTGTAACATCTTAGAAACAGTTTCACCGATACTTTTACAAATTCTTTACTTATTTTTAAAACAATTATCTACAAAATATTGAGAGTATAATCAAATATTTTACTTTATTTTTAATCACTGTTACAAATGTCGCTTGATCAGTAAATTATTCTTTAAGTTTAATGATACTATTTAACTATCACGTAATTGTGCAATATTTGGAATAATAAAACGCTCACTGCACGCAAAGCATATTACTATTTACATTTATCTTTATTTTCAGATGATGTTGTGCAATCAGACAATTATTTATTTATTTATTTATTACGTAAGAAATAAAGGCAGTACTTATCATTTTATTAACTTTTCATTATTTAAGCAACACAATACGGAAGAAAGCCAAATGCCGGTATTGTTCATAGTTGATTCTTATTATTTAAAATTATCTTAAGTACAGTATTAAGATGTCATAAACTAATCATAAGTCACATGAACGACATTACTTATGAATACTAGTCACGGACTAGGTACACGCGAGTGAGGCGAATGAGGCGCGCGAGCCGGCCCTGAGCGCCACAGATCAGATTTTTTATTTGTTAACTTTAACACGCTGTCCTGCAAAACTACCTACTTGTTGGAAGCAATTTTGCTAAAGGAAGAAGTTGTTTGTTTTACAGGGTTGGGTAAGTTAATGTTTTCTTTTTAACTGAATAAAGTTAAAGTTAATAGCTTTACTAAAGTTAAAAAATTAATAAAGTTAAGTTAAAAGTTGAAGGAATAAAAAATTAACTTAACGAAAGTTAAGTTAATATTGAATTAACTTAAATTAAAAAAAGTTAATTTCGAAAAAAATTATTTTTAAGGTCAAGATGTTCTAATTTTCCTTAAAATGAAATTAAATAACAACTATTGTACAATATAGATTATTAAGTAAATAAATTTTTAATTTTTTTATTCACATATGACATAACACTTTTTAGGTTTTTACTTTTTAATAAGCCTTAAGCCATAAAAAATGAATCAATTACAGTCAAATATTCTCCTCGCATTCGAGATTCCTGTAACTGGTCAATTTCTTACGACTTAAAACACCTATTGTAGATCCGGACTAAGACTTACGTTAATTAATTATGCATAAGGCATAAGTTAATCAGAGAGCTATATTAGCCTATCTTAAGAAATTACTTAAGATGGTCTTAAAATATGAACGGATTACGAATATACGCCCTTAGTGTATTTCTTATTGTATTTTATGATTTTTCTAAGGCATTTAAAAGAGATAAAAAAAATTTTTAACTTAAAAAAAAGTTAAAAAGTTAACGTTTAAAAGTAACTTAATTAAATTAAAATTTAATGCATTTAAAATTAACTAAATTAAATTAAAAGTTATTAACTTTTTAACTTTTTTTCTAATTTTTAATGTTTTAACTATCCAACACTGTTATTTTAGCATAAAGTATCATGTCCTGTACTCCGAATTCGCGAATTTTGGATCACTCTTATATTGAATAAATTAGATAAATCACTATCTGGTGTCGGCTCTTAATGGCATTCAATCTTATCTATTGATTTCTTCGTCAGAGCCTTTAGTTCCTTATATTGTTTAATATATAATAAATATCAGAGATAATTAACCTTCAATTATCAATCATACCTTAGCAAATTATTTGTTGTTACTTTCAGGAAGATAGAGTAAAACAGAGCGGCTACCCCTTTGAACTTCACCATGTAACAACTGACGATGGGTACATATTGGCGGTTCATCGGATACCTAATCGCTCGAATAAAACTATTGAGAATAATCGAGTGGTATTGATCATGCACGGATTATTGGGATGTTCGATGGATTGGCTGATAACGGGTCCAAATCGATCACTCGGTATCAGATCAGTTTTGCATTCCCTCCTCTTTAGTTTATAGATTTTAATACATTGATTAAAGAATTACCCTTTTATAACCTATTAGCTTATCTTCTGGCTGACGATGGCTACGATGTGTGGCTCGGCAATTCCCGTGGAACCACGAATTCGAAGAACCACACGAACCTTTCCATAAGCAGTGCTAAATTCTGGGATTTCAGGTATCGCGAAACTCCGAAATGCCGTCTTGTCTATGCGGTCCCATCTCTCACACTTTTCACGAACTAGAAAAATGAAAAAAATCCTACGAATGTAAATTTTAACTTGAACGTTCTGACATTCTCCTGGTGGAAAAATTTCGCTGAAATTATTAACACCAGGAGAATGTCAGAATGTTCAAGTTAAGTCAGGGTCGCGTAGAATTTCATTTCTCTAGAATGAATTGCGAA